TCGGATATCCGTTTTACTATTGATATCCAGATAATTATCCGAATATTTGTCGGATTATCCGGATACCAATAGTAAATAGATATCCGGATAAATTCAAATATGGATAAATGGATGACGGATTTATCCGGATTGGACCTCTATTTTAAACCATAAGTTTCGAGTATATTTTTGACTAAAAACAAAAATATAAAAAAATATTTTTATTATTTACAAAAATTTAATTAAAAATTTATAAATACTATAATATTTTTTGGTATTTTATAGTTTTTTATTTGAAATTGCAAAGTTAAACACCAATTAATTTTAAAATTTTAAGCAAAGTTATTTAATTTTTTACTACATTCTTTAAATAAATATTTAATTTATTTAAAATAATTATGATTACTATGCAGAAACTTACATTTCTTAAGGCGCAGTAACTGCATAGTAATTTATAGGTTAGATTAAATTTAATTGTATACAATTATGTAATTAATGTAGAATTAAATACCACAGGGTGGTGTTTTAGTACTAATCCCTCTACTATGAAAAATCTAGAAGATAACAAATTACGAATTAAACATACCCTGATAAATTCTATTTAGAAAGACTGTTTTTATAATCTATTTAATGAGCCGAATGAAGGTGAATTATCGCTTATTAATGACAATAAATCATTTATAATTAACGATGTAAACATTTATCATTTTCATATCTCTCATATCCAATTTATTCAAAGAAATTATAATAATAAAATAATAAATAATAATAACATATGTATAAATAAACTATCCTACCTATTCATAAATTTTTTACAATTTTTTCTTTATTTAAAGTCCAAGAGATGGAAAGTTTAATCTTCCAATATAGTACATCTTCTCCATTATGCTGATGTACCCAAGTTAATTCCGGATATTCATTTTCAAGATGTTCTTTAATTATATCTTTATATAAGGACATTATATTGTATGCATAACGTTTTGTATCTAAAAATATATCAGATAAATTTATCTCATTTAATAAAGCATGAACAGTAGCTTGCCCATTATTAAGAAAAAGTACATCAATATCGGTTTTAAAGGAAGTTTCTTTCAAATAACTTTCTACTACTCTACTAATTAATTCATTAAATGCGCTAATTAAATTTCTGATTTTTGTAATTGCAATTTTATCAATAGATGTTGGCCGTGGAATTTGAAAAAAGTCAAGTTCGATTTCTATTTCTTTTGATGTTATTGAATCCACTAAAATAATATATATATTGAAAATAATATTAAAAAAAAATTTTTTTTTTTTAAAAAAAAAATTTCGATTAAAAAAATAAATTTTTTTTTTACATTGATTTCCAATATTTAATTTTCCTGTTCGATAAAATTGCATAACATAATGAAATATTTGACCGGAACGATCAAAGAAATATTCATTACCATTCCTTGGAATTCGCAATGATCTATTTCTTTCTTGAAACATGGTTCCAAGAAATGTATCAGGGTATGCAGTGAGGGTAGATCGATATGTCTCATACTATCAAAAAAAGCGATAAAAAAAACTTTTAAAAATTATTTGAAAAATAAATTACAGATCTAAGAAGGATATCAACTTTCATACTTTAACACCGCCAACGTTTAAAATAATTGTTTCATCCGAACATTCATCAGTTAAACTTTCTTCAGTTATATTATTAGTTTCGTCCATTTTTTCAAAATTATAAATATTAAAAATTAAACATTAGCATGTTTGTATGAAATAGACGGATTCCGTCCAATATAACAATGAATTTGTTCTGCGTTGCACTGACTGCGAAAGATGATTGGATTATTATTATGCACCTTTTTTGGCTGTATGTAACAGATCCAACTTTTTTTTCTCTTGTAATACGTATAGCTATTGACTCAAAAACGATAATCACGTAAAATTACGTATTTAGTTAGTCACTAAAGATGAATTACTTATCTGTTATTATTGTGTAGTGGTAATCACGATATTCCTAAACTGTGACACAAACTTCCTCAACGGTCAAAGTTGACTCAATTTAAGGTTAGCGTTGACCTGATAACGTTGGTCAGAATTAGAAGTCGGGGAAATAATTGTCGGGAAAATCGATAGAAACCATCCAAAATTATGAAAATTTTGAAAAAATGTGGTGCAATACCTAATTTGGTAAGTAGGTGTATATGTACTCTGCATATACAACTAGAATGGTAATAATTTTCCGTGACCGTACTGTCGTGTACATTGGCCGATCAAATATTTAAAATATTTTACGCACATACGACGTATGTACGCTCACTTACGTGGTATTACTCGAACTCTCAATTATTGTTATCAAGTTACAAATCATGTTAACCTCTATCCCAGCAGAAATTTATCAAAATATCTTTAAAGATCTTGATACAGATTCATTATATTCAGCTATTCTGGTTAATCGTATATGGTGTTCCAATGCTATTTCTATTCTTTGGCAAAACCCATTTGAAATTCTGTATCAAAATGACGATAGTGAATATTTTGAAACAGACGTGAAATCAATTATAAAAACTTATATTTCTTGTCTTCCAAAAGAATCTAAACTTATGTTGTCTTTCCCTGATTTGTGTATTGACTTATTAACATCATCAATTCCAACTTTTAATTACCCATCATTTTTACATACATTAAATTATGTTTTATTATCTGATTCTGTGAATAGAACCATTAAAGATAATGCTAATGTGATGATGGTCCTAATTCTATTATGCAAATTATTTTTCGACCAAGGCTTTCACATTAGATCACTTGAATTTAGCACTCATATGATAAAAGATTATATGGGTTCACATCTCAAGACGATTTATATGAATTTAAGAGAAATACCTGGAGCAGATAATTTTTTTTCAAGAATACAAAGATTATGTTGGCGAGGTAAAAAAAATAAAAATAAAAATAAAAAAAAAATAAAAAAATAAAACTATAAAAAAAAAAAAAAAAAAAAAAAGATAAAATGCAATTGATTCTTGTAGTTGTCTTATTCTACACGTGCAAATAAACATTTTTTCAACTTTACTATAGATGATGCACCACTTTATTGTCTTTCCTCAATAGCCGAAATAGCAAAGGAAATTCGTGTTTTAGATATTTTATTGGAATCTGAAAATGAGAATGAATCTGGTAGTAATGAGCTATTTACGTTGATAAATGCTCAAGATAATTTACAACAGATCACAATGATCTCTTTAAGAAAGACGACAAAAGCCATTTCAGCACTTCGGTCAAAATCTAATACCCTCCGAAAGATCTTTATAAAAGGAATTACTTCCTTTTCATTGGATTTCTTTAATGAATGTTCGAATCTTGAAGAACTATCTTTATTATATAATGAATCGCATCTACTTACGAATCCTCAAATTGCCAGACAACTTCGAACTGAAATTCAAGGTTACATACAAGCCGGAACTCTGGACCGTACTCAAATGGTACCATCTGTACAAATGGTCTCTGCTATCCGAAGGACGGTGGCAAACATACAAGGAACAACGATTCCTCGAATTCAAGCCATAACAAACGAGAAACAGCAATTACAACATTCTTCCGAAGTGAATATACAACCATTTAATCCTAATTACTCAAATCTATCTAAACTTACTGTATTCCAGATCAACCTTGACAGTTTTCAAACTACAGAACAAGTAATTGATATAATTCAATGTAATAAGGGTGGTCTTCGTGAATTACGTGTTCAAAAAACTGCTCCGATATCTGTAGAGCATTTGAAGCAATTATTCTTAATGGTTATTAATCATTGTCCAAATCTTATTCATATTACGTTATGTATTCCAAACATAGCAATATCAGAAATTCCAAATCTTTTTAAAAAATGTTTATCACTTGAAGAAGTTTATTTGAGAGCAGTAAAAGCAATGGATATTAGCGAAACTCTTGATGAAATGGGATTTGATGTTCCAATTAATCTAAAATCCCTTAGTTTAGGGTTATATAGTTGGAAATATTCGCTTGAGGCTATTAAGGGATTTTTGAATGGATGTGAATTGAGAGTAAATAAGAAACCTATTAGGTTTTTGTATAGCAATAATTTGACTAAAGATGTTATTGGTGTACTCGAGATGTATGAGTCGAAGGGAATATTAGAGTTGGTTGAAAAGAAATTATGGTATGCATAAGGGTGGTAAGAATTTGATAATTTAGATGATTATATGATACTATAATTACTTTGAATAGATTTTTTTTAGTGTTGATTTTATTATATACACATATATACATGATATCAAATTTATTTTCTTTGGCATGTCAATTATTTTGGATAAAATAATTGCATTATAAAATTATAAAACTAGCCAAAAAAAAAAAACGCCATTATTCATGAGATTTCACGAATAAAAAAAAAAATTTTCTTTTTTTTTTTAAAAAAAAAATAGTCTTCATCGTTGCATCTCGAAATAAAATAAGAAAACATTTAGCATAACAACAATCATTGAAGCCATGTTAAATGCAGAAAGATTATTTGAATCGGATGACAAATTAGTCATATTGGTTTTGCAATATGATGAACAATTTTCCGTTGATAAGGATTGTGGAAAAATGACACTTGGTTTGTAAGGATTCGGATTATTCGACGTGGCAAATCTAAACGAATTAATTAAATAAATTTTCAGTCATTTTGACTCGTAATATTCGTAAAAATTTTTTAAAAATATTTACCCTAAAGTTTCCAAAATAGCCAATATTTTTGGTCCAATAGCCTCCTCTTTACCGCCTTTACCACTACCACTTGCAGCGATAGAATCTTCCAGAGTCCTTCCAGGTGTTTGTTCAAAGGTCATTAAAAACTCACTAGTATTATCAAACAATTTTTCATCTACATGACTTAAGCTAGAACCGCTTAGAAAAGGATCTATACCAGTTTCTAATACTACTACGTCATTTTTTGAATTAGATGTATTAAGTAAAAAACCTAAAGAATTAGGTTTAATACAAGTTGTATACATCTGTTTCGCTATATCGAATTGTGGTGAAGCCTTAAACTTTTCTTTAAATTCATTAATTGAAGCAAATTTTGTGTCTTGACCATCCAGAAATTTATCAAGTTTCGATGTTAACTCTGTCGTACGCGTTTTATCTGATGTTAAAACCATATATTTATCAAAGGCATTTTCCAAAAATCCACGAAAGACCAATTCAGAATTTCGTTCAATATTATCCCCAACATTATAAATAATGCCATCAATATTCGGAGTAAGGAATAGTGAATTTTCATCAAGATAATCGTTACTCCAACTAGAAAGAAAACCAAGTCCATGGGTCAATTCATGCAACACGAGTTCTTCAAAACCGGTTTGATTCGGTTGGATTTGCGGATCGCCTTCGAACCAAAATGGAAAATTTGAATTAAAGTCAGCTAAAATATCAATCGGTGCATACTCTGGATGAACATTTAGTTGAAATTGTTTGGCGAGAGCTTGTGCATATAAACGAATTTTTCCATCTTCATCTCTAAAAGGAATTGTTCGGGACGGACTTGCTGAACCTGTATCATAAAATAACGTGATCAAGATATTAATTCCGATTCGGGGATCAGAAAGATGAATGAAATCGAAAAGTAACTTTTATGTACAGTACCTAGCAAATTCCCTTCCAAAGGTTTAAAAGTAGCCTTCAAACCAATTCTTGTATTAAGCAATAATTTTGAAGTTAAAATTCTTCCAACAGATTCGAAAGTTGCTTTGGCTTTATTACACATTTTTTCGTCATTTGAATCACAATAAAACGTTAGATCAAACATGTTTTTTGGATCACGTTTCGATCTATAATCATCGCGAATTTCAAATTTATTATTTGATCTAACATGAGGACATGGTGCTAAAATTTTGTTTCTTGGATTGAGAGGATCTAAATAGTCGATGCATTGAAGACTGGCATAAACTTTGATAATTTTAACGAATAATAAATAAATGAGGAAATAAATAGCAGTAAAAGAGATTCTTTTCATAATTGTATAATTTTTTTTTCTTTCAAAGAAAATGAAAGTCCAAGACCAGCAAGGAATCCAAGTCCAGCAAGGGATTATAAAGGAATTTTTTTTTTTAAAAAAAAAGCTTAGCGCGTTTTAATTAATAATTGAAATGAGTTCTTCCTTGATCATAAAATTTTCACATGTTAATATCTGGGAGAAACATTTCAATTCTAACACAAACGAATTATTGATTAGGTATTAATGAAGCCGTAGGTTTTACTCCACCAGGGAGAAGATGAGGGTTTGAATCATCATTTATTCCATATATAAGAAACTTATGATTTTATTTTGGTTTGCATATTACTTTAAAAAGGTAATTATAGTGTAGATTCTTAATGTTTTAAGCATTGCATCTATACGTACTGTACATAAACGTCTAAATAAAATTGTTATTCCAAAAATAACAATCGCATTTAGCGTTAGTTCCTTGATTAAGTAAATTAGTTTTTTTTTTTTTTTATCAGATTTTTAGTTATATAAATATTTTTATTTTTGTCCCAAGGTATCGAATATAATTGTAAATATTATTATGGAATGATTCACAATTTTGCCAAGCGTTACTATAGCATTTAGTCTGTAATTTTCTAGGCATTCACATGCATATCCCGATAATTGATCATTGAACATTTTTTGTAGATTATGATTAATTTGAAGAAATGAAACGTTTATACGTGTTTCATATATATTTTTTTTGACGTATTTCACGTGACCAAATATTGAAGTGTGCTACTTTGTCTTATTAAATCATTTTTATTGTTTCTCAAAGAAGTCACACAAATTACAACTCACCAATAAGAATCAATCCAAGAATAGATTATGATAACCCCTTCTAGGCGTTTTTTGTTTCGGATAATGACTGTAAATTGTGTTACATCAACCCTAGGTTTTGGTATTTTATTACTCTCGGGACATTTCTTCAGTAACCGTTATTTTGCCCTAACTATCATGTATTACGACTTATTTATATTTGTTAATTTACAACTGCTTAACAAGTTTTTTCCTATATTTGAAGCGATCATATTAATAATGTCATTATAGAAGGTAAAGAAGAGGATTGTATGACATTTTTGTAAGACTCGTGGCGATTTGTAATGTCGTACGTACGCACGTACGTATGCGTCAATATATTTTTTACATCTTGTTACATAAATAAGAACTTTGTTTTTACTGTAGATTCCTATAAATGGCTATCGCCTAAATTTTACAATTAGTAACTAGAAAATTCGTCCGTACGTTCGTGCATTGAACCAATGCTAATGTATACGTATTTATTAATAGTAATCTATTATCTTAAGTAAATAAATAACATGTAAGCCCGTGGGTGCAGTAAAGCAGGAACCGCTGTTTTTTTTTCTACGAGGTTGATGGTTACATGTTCTCGTTATGCATACACACAATATGTACCAGTACAGTACGTACGTAAATTTTAGAGTTCGGGATTCTTGATATTCATGGAAACTGTTTTCTTCAATTCAATATAAATATTTTATTTTTATTTTTATTATTATTTTATTGCTTTTTTTCTTTTCCCTTCTTTTTCTTTTTTTTTTTTTTTTTTTTTATTAATTGTTAGAATTCAATTAGTTATGTGATCAAGAAGATATTTGTGAAAAAAAAAAAAATTAGCTGAAATGATTGTTACACTTTTGTTGTGGGTAACACTTTTAATTGTGTCTATCGGAATTAAACAAACAAAAAGCAATATTTCGAACTTTACATATGTAGAAACAGTGAAATATGAAGGAAATACATTACCTCATGTGTGGAACTCGATCGTGTATGATGATGGAACTATCGTTTTACGTATAGTTCGTGAAGATCCTGGTTCCAACAAACTTATACCAAATGCAACAATATCAAATACAACAATGTGCTTACAAAATTTATTATCATTGAGAATTCTATTTTCTAACGGAACAGTAATTGAACAAAATATTGACTTGGAAATTCAATCACTAAACTATTGCATTTCTAAACTTGATGTTAATTCGGATCTTTTTGATCCCATCAAACTTTATGCGTTAAATACTAATTATGTTCTAGTAACTTATTATAATGCTACTAATGTAAATGATAATTCTACATATTCATATTGGGGAATGGTCGTGGACTGGAATGGAAATAAATACCGGTTAGAAAAATTTTGATTTCATTATATAATCGATTTACACTTTATTAACTTAAAACTTTATCTCATTAAATATTTGCTTTTATTATATAGTCCAATAAACTTTGGTCCTACAATATTCTCGATGCAAAATATGAATAGTGTTTGTAGAAATATTAATCCAGATAAAGGGTTTTTGCGATTAAGTATATCTTCTAATGCTATTGACTGGAGACAATATATCATGTAAACTTTCATAAGAGAAATATTCGGAACTTTCCTACTTTTTGTTTTTGTTTTTTTCCAAAAATTTATTAAGTTGATTCATACCCGATATTTGACATTAGGGCCGATAATGGGGATATAAATCAGTTAAATGCAACTGGAACAATTGATATTAGTGGTTCTTTTCGTAGTACTTTGTTCGAGGCGATTTCAACAGTAAATGAAGATTATGCTATCATCTTTGGTAGCACTTTTAATTCGACATCTAATTCGACATCTAATAATTCATCAGATATTTTATCTTCTCATGGAACATTACGTATTTATCCACTGGAATATAACAAAAATAGCACCGGAACTTCTCTTTTGCTTTGGCAAACCTCTCTACAAAACTTAACCTTCTCATATCTTCAATGCGTTGTTTCTAATACCGGTGTAGGCCACATGTGCACGATGACAGTAACACAATCGGTTCAATCTGAAGATGACTCAGATATTATCATTAATAACGTATTTTATGTTAAGGTTACTTTTCTTTCTTCAGGTTCTGCTCTTGGGTTTACAACATTGAATCATAATTTACCCCAAAGTGTACCAGAAAATGTTGATCAATTGATTATTAAACCGTTGCCATGTGGTGGATATTTACTTTCTGCATACACATCTAATGCGACTGGTGTATTTTTTTATGGTTATATTTTTAATGAAACTGGTCAAGATCCAATTCCATGGGAACTGTCGATACCTGTTAATTTAAATATTGCAGGAGTAACAACCATATTACCAAACAATTCTATGATACTAGCATTAAATGAAACTGTTGATACGTGGAGACTACTTACTGTGGATTTACCAAATTTATTAAATATTTCATGTAATAAATCTCGGTTCTTTGATAACTTTTTATTAATTTGTTAAATATTTAATATTAAGTTTTAAAATTTTTTTAGATGTATATTCCAACCCAGCAATCGATTCTACATATCCTTCGATCAATGCTAGTATGTTAGATGCAAGTTCATTATTATATCTTAATGTGACCTTTCGTAATTCTGTGGAACTTTCAGATGGTAAAATATCAATATACCAATCCGGTTCAACTACTAGAATACAAAATCTTCGTCAATCAACACCGGCAAATTTGTGTACTATCATTGATGATCTGACGGTGAAAGTGAATATTTTACCTTGCACTTTTAGTGTGCCTGGTGCCAGTTATTATGTCATGTTTGATAATAATTTTGTAATGAATTATGCTTATAAAGAGCCTATAATAGGATTACGTGATCGTGTTTGGACATTTAGCACTGGTAATTTATAATTTTGAACTAAAGTTAAAATTTAAATAAAAAAAATTAAATGTTACTGATTTCCTTTTTTCTTCTTCTTCTTTTTTGATATAAAATATTGAATAGCTCCAAAAGAAGATATTTTTGCGGGTAAAATTTAGGAAAAAATAATAATATTCCATTAATATATATATGATCAATTTAATAATTTATTAATATAAATATACCAGCTTCCGAAACAGGTCTTTTACGTTTAACGGTGAATGGTACAATGTACCTTGATTCTCTCAATAAAAATCTTCGAAGCCAATTCTTTTCCAATTTAACTGCTGAACTTTCTCGAATGATTCCAGTTGACCAAAGCCGATTGTCAACAAATGGAATATCTCAAGTAGATCCTTCAAATAATGCCGAGAAACAAGAATTAATAAATCTTGAAATAAAATCAACAAACGATCCCGGACAACCAAATGTTAATAGAATTATTAATATTTTAGATAATTTAATCAAGAATAAAGATTATACTCCAATATCACAAGGTCAAACTACTCAATATTTGGATTCCGTATACGGATTTCAACAATCACGTAAGTAAATGAATAATAACTTTATATTCGAATTATACATTTAAACGTAGAATTTTATTCATAATTTTTCTCTTGACAGCTGATCTATGGCAAAAGTATATGATGAGATTTATATTGATTTTTGTTGCCATCAGCATTCCTATAATTCTCTTCATTATAGCGCGATGTAAAAACAAAAAGGTATTTGATTATAGTTTTATTATACCGTAAATGTCGGCCAAAATTAAATAATTTTTTTTTTTCGAAATATATAGGGACATAACATTGTTATTATACATTTGGGCTTGATTATTTTTGATGTAGTAATAACTTCTCTCTTTGTTGGTAATAATGGTAAAGATGTTATATGGCTTTATATTCCAAGGTAAGATTAAAATTTACATGATATATATATACATATATTGTTATTCAATTTCTAATTAATGTAATTCTGTTAAATTTATCTATAAAACATATATATATATATATACTGTAGTGTAGTTTTTTTAACAGTTCCAATAGGATTAAACATCATAGTAGCTTATTTAATAATAGATATAGAAAATAAAAACAAAAAATTTTTTGATTGGTTTATCAAATTCGGAAAAGTTGCAGCAGTAGTTACAATAATGGCAGGTGCAAACATTGAAGCACTTACACTGTTATTTTCCAATATTGCAGGATTGAGATGTTCTCGAGCTCCATTTAGTTTAAGGGCAAAAGCTTGGATTTTTTGGTGGTCTTGTTTTAATATATTTATTAAAGATATTCCTCGTATTATTATTCAGGTATTACTACAATATTAAATTTTTATTTTATTTTATTTTTATTTTTTTAATATTATACTACCAATATCTTAGTTGTTTATTTATTTATTTAACGTTTTATTTAGATATTATATCAAAAAAACACAGTAATATACGATATAATACCCCTTTTAACACTAATAACATCCAGTTTGAGCTTAACAATTAATGTGATTAATAAATTATATCAAGGTAAAAACCGTTGTAGACATGAAGATATTGATCATTTTCCGGCAGTACCGAAGGATGATAGTGTTGATAATGTTCATGACGATGGTGATAATGACGGAGATAATATGAACAATTCAAATGATTTAAATAATTTAAATAATTCGAATAATTCAAATAATTCAAATAATTCAGATATTTCGAACAATTCAAATAATTTAAATAATTTAAATAATTTAAATAATTCAAATAATTCAAATAATTCAAATAATTCAAATAATTCCACACAAAAAATATCATCATCTTTAGGGGGGAATATTTCAAGAGATACGGAAAGTAGATATAGCAATTATAACGGTGGAATAAATGTTGTTGACAATGATACAAGATATCCCACTGATGAAACATACGATGATGATATTATAGAAGTTGTTGGTGGATCTTAAAATAAAAAAAAAAACTACATAATAAAATTGTTTATAAAAAAAGGGAAAACTTTTTTAGTGCACCTGCACTGTAGTGCACCCCCCCTTGAAAATTTTTTTAAAATTTGATTAAATATTTATATAATAACTTTTATGTTAATATAAGAGCAATACTAT